AAAATGTTTGAAATTTCAAATTGATGTGTCTTGGAGAGTTTACACCAAGATGATTTCCTTTTGCAAACTAGTCCATTTGTAGTTGTTTCTCTTTTAATATTTTAATTTTCATTGTTATATATACTTATCCCTCAGTATCTATGGGAGATTGGCTCTAGGACCCACCATGGACACCAAAATCTGCAAACGCTGAAGTTCCATAGTCAGCCTTCTGTATCTGCAGTTCTACATCTGCAGATTCAACCAACTGCAGATCACGCAGTACTATAGTACTTATTGAAAAAAAATCTGAATATGAGTGAACCAGCACCATTCAAACCATGCTGGTCAATAGAACAATTCAAGAAAAGCAATGGAAATTTAAATCATGGTCTATATTCATGAAAGACAAATTAATAAGCCACACAACTTTGCTAGAGAGAATTTCTGAAGCTATCTCACAATGTTATGGCTGATTCTTTTCATTTTGTTTCTAGGATCCTCAGTGCATGGCAGTGAGAGGAAAATTTCTCATTTAGTTAACATCATCCTAAAACAATGAAAAATAGTAAAAATATGAATGTTTAATACTCATCCTCCCTCCAAAACAATTAAATAAGATGAAAAGAAAACTGTTTTACTTCTAACAAAGAGAAAAAATACCTATGCATTTATAATTAGAATAAGAACATTGCCAAAATGATATGTGAAAGCATCATGACTCATTTCTTTAATTAACTTACACTTGTTAAATATTGGAAATAAAACTGTCTGTCAATGATTGATTATGTCAACGTCCTGAAAGTCAATGGAAACCTCAGGAAACAAAAATAAACTGTTGATACAATTTAAAACAATTAAGTTTTTTTTGAGGCATTAAAAAATCTGACTCAGAATGGCTTTGTTTTAACTATTAAGGTTCACATTTATCTCTTTATCTGTAACAGTTACCCAACTCTGTGACTGTTTTTAAAAATTAGTATACAAGCACTTATATCTGAAAGAATAAGGCAAGTAAAATGTATTATTAAGTTTCTATCATTATAAGCCAAGCCCTTTTCACATTTTTCATTTTAATCCATATTACAAACCTCTGTGATATTTACAGAAAAGGAAACAAAGGGTCAGGGAGGTTAAGTACATTGCTCAGCTACACAATGAATAGGTGGTAAATGAGAATTCCAACGTAAGACTATCCAACACACAAACCTTTTT